AAGCGACGGAGCAGATCGGTCGAAGACAAATAAATCGCAATGATGGCGCAGTCCCTTCTCTCTCTGGGTGCGCTCGCGCCGCACCGAAATATATCGCTCCGAATTAATAGCACGTCGTGACGGTGCATCGCCGCAAGGGCGATTTAAGTCGAGCGATATATCGCGTCTGGCGTCCTCGTTGGCGCACCAACGCTTGATGGTGGTAGTGGTGGCGGTAGTGTTGGTAGTACCACGGTGATGGTTTACGCTTCGCAAAACGTCCACGAAGAGGATACGTCGCACGGTAAGACTTTAATAAGTGTCGCCAAGTAATATCGACCTATTTTGTCTGTACTTAAGCTCCACTGCGCGTCCCAAAGCTTTAAACGCTCCAACACTGTCAAACTGTCCCGCGGCTCAAGAATATTTACGACCGTGCCCAACCTAAAGATCCTAACACCCCTTTGCGCATGAGTATCAGCCGCGAATCGGGTGACAAAAGAGTCGGAGATCGCGGAGAGCGGATTGGGACGCCAGGATTGAGGTAGCCGTACGTACATCTATGCGGAAACGCGAGCGAGGAAATTCGCAGTCTCACGTATCGCGCCGTCATTATCTGACTGCGATTTTGACAACGTGGCGAACGTGCCGTCAAAGACGACGGCAATTGCAGGAGAACACGAAGCAAAGGGTATCAAGTATCGTGTAGTTACATCGTGACCCTTCTAAAGGCTGGTCGATCCTTTCGTTGGGGCTCGTAACGGGTGCTAGCGGTTAACGATTCCGAGAGGTGACCAGCTTCGAAGTCGTGTCACGAGCTCGGTCGCGCGCTCGCCTATTGGAATGCTGCTCCGAGCTATTGACATTAGGTGACGCGTAATTACTTCTTCGGAATTGCATTGATCCTCACTACCCGCTGAGACCTTAGCGAATCGCACGACACGACATCCCTCCTGTGTTTTTCACGCGACTCTAACTGATATGTACAGCGTGTCTGACAATTATTTATTGTCAGTTATATTGACACATTCGTGCAGATAGAACTCATCAAACTGAACACAAAACTCCTCTATCACTTCGCGCAAACAACCACGTAAAATTTTTAATTATTAACGAAATAGGTTTGGTGAATGATCATGCACGATACGGTAGATAAGGACTGCGATGACATAACGTCGCTTATACATTAGATTTGCCTCAAACTAAACAAAAAAGTCTTCTACTATTTTATGACCGTGTAGATTTCTACTTATTAATTCAAGAAGTTTGTGGCGTTATTGTGCGCGCAATAATAGTAGAGGAATTTTGTGCTCAGTTTGATGGATTCTACCTGCACGCACAACGGATATATGTCAATAATTATTAGATATCCTATAGATACTCTATGAATTATTCATATATTGATTATATTAAACAGTCAGTTACGTTGTACGTTTGACGCTATTAAACTAATAATTTCGGTTTCCCTTCTCCCCCACAGGAGCACATTGCGCAGAATGTCTCCGCATTACGGGTTTGAGCGTGTTTCTGATAGCTGAAATATTTCTCTGTAATGAGAACGATAAATGCTGATGGAGAAACAGCGGCGCACCTTTCCAGATTACATTAGCATAAAAGAATCGGCCAAGAGCCTTAACTTTCACGCGAGAATGGTAAATTCCTCTTTTTCTCTCTCTCTGCTTTTCTCCTACCGCAAACATCGACCGCGTCCCTCTCGATTTGAAGTCCAACAGATATACCTTTCGACAGGAGTCGCGAAACAATGTCAAAAATTTGATTGCACAGCGAGATGTTTTAACGAAAACCGTAGGCAACGGTGACCCATGAGCGGTTGTCAGATTTCTCCGGTACAAAATCGACCTGCGCGGGCCGAAATCGGGAATATGCGTCGCGCGGAATAATTGTTTCGTACACAGGGAAGTGTCTCCGCGAGTCTCTGGAATAGAAGAGTTCTCCAATTTCACAGCGAATTTCGAGAAATAAATAACGAGAACGCGCTTGAAGCGAAATAACGAACTTATAAAATTCCCGAGGGATCAAGAAACCGGTAAGTATCGGAGCCGTGGCTGACACGTAGTAGAGCTCGCGCTAAATACACGAATACGAGGAATTCCCTGTTTCATTCAATTACTTCCACGGTGTTTAATTATACCTTAATTAAAATCCTCGCACACGCCCGTGGGAAAGTTTAGAAGTTAATACCCGTAGAGATGGCGATACTTTCATATTAGCGCGGCAGTCGGCTGACTTACGAGCGCCAGTATAAAACGAGTTAATTACGTTACGGTAGCGACGCGCGCTGCGCCGGAGTTACTCGGTGCAGCCTTCGTACTTTCTCGTTGTCTCACTTTCCGACGCGCGAAAACGTCCCGCATTCAAGCATCGCACATTTCGCACGGGACATTCGTCTTTACGAAGATCACTTATCTTTATACACGTGGCCGTTTCGCTTAACGTACGACTTAACTGATCCTTTAACGTTGAGCTCTTTAACACGTCAACGACTACTGCGCTGATCTTCACTGATCGTTGAAAAGCCAGAAGATTGAATAATTAAGAATGCCGTAAGCAAAACGCTTTTTTTCTGACGCAAATAATTTTTCACTTCCTTCCATTCTTTATTGGCCGTGCATCTAATTTATCCGTTACAATTACCCGAGTCGAAATTTTGATCCCACTTTCAACCACAATATCCAATTTAACGGCCATTTTGCAATATCTAATTTAACTGCTCCTTTAACGTCGAGCTCTTTAGCACGTCAGCGATTATCGCGCTGATCTCCCCTGATCGTTGAAAAGCCCGAATAAAGATTGAATAATTAAGGATACCGTAAGCAAAACGCTATAAAACGCTATTTTTATAAATTTTCGCGAATAATTTTTCACTTCGTCCCACATTAATTATTTATTGACCGTGCATTTAATTTATCCGTTGCAATTACCTCTAATCGAAATTTTGATCTTTCTTTCGACTACAATATCCCATTTAACACTTTGATATTCTAAAGCCTATATCAATCTCTTTTGATTCTATTTAATCTATTAACTTTGCCGAGAGAGAGAGAGAGAGAGAGAGAGAGAGAGAGAGAGAGAGATCTTCTTTAGAACTTACAAGTAGCATTTTGTGCGTTTACTGCCATTTAGAGACACTGACAAGTAAACCTACCCAAAAGGTACATTCCGATTTCTTTCTAATTTGACACAAATGTAAAAGTACAAAAAATATTTAAATCATATTTTTTTATTTCGGTCCACTTTGAGCAGTTTATAGCTTTTTAATGTTCTCACTCCTATCATATATAACAAAAATGCATAAGAAATAAAATTGAATACAAAATATAATTAAATAATTTTAACAAAATCCACGAGCAGTTTATAGCTTTTTAACGTTCTCACTCCTATCATGTATAACATGTATAACAAAAATGCGTAAGAAATAAAATTGAATACAAAATATAATTAAATAATTTTAACAAAATCCACGAGCAGTTTATAGCTTTTTAACGTTCTCACTCCTATCATGTATAACATGTATAACAAAAATGCGTAAGAAATAAAATTGAATACAAAATATAGTTAAATAATTTTAACAAAATCCACATAGCTGAGACACGAATCATTTTAAATTTCTTTAGCCGAGATTCCAACCGAAATATTTCAAATCTGTACTAAATTAGTCAAAAATGGTTCGAATCTCGGCCAAACCGAGAGAGAGAGAGAGAGAGAGAGAGAGAGAGAGAGAGAGAGAGAATTCCAGCAATTTTAATTAAAAGTTTAACAAAATCGGCATAGCTGAGACACGAACCATTCTAAATTTCTTTAGTCATGATTCCAACCGAAATATTTCAAATTTATGCTAAATTAATAAAAAATAGTTCGAATCTCGAAATCGAGAAACTATTTGTATAAGTAATTTTTTTTTCAATTTTTTACATGTTTTGTTTAAACATTTTATTATTTATACAAATAATTTTATACATTTGACTTCATATTCATTATGCAAACCAAAAACACCTACATCTTGGATTCAATTTTATTTTTTATGTATTTTTGTTGATGATAGGAGGGAGAACATTAAAAATCTATAAACTGCCCGTGAAACTCAAAATGGGCCAAAATGAAAAAATATGACCTAAATATTTTTTGTATTTCTAAATTTGTGCCAAATTAGAAAGAAATCGGAATGTAACTTTTGGGTAGGTTTACTTGTGAGAAAGATCTCCTGAGTTCATATATGTATTAAACATGCATTGAACCTTCAGATAATGTA